CACGGGAGCTGCGTGGATTTGTTTTCCTCGGTGCCATTTAAAGGCAACCCCGTGTGTCTCCGTCCGAGGCGGCTAGGTGCTCCCGATGCCGACGCTCTCCGCGAGCAAAAGAAGCAGGAAGGCTTCTGAGCAGCAGTTTTATTGTGTTAATAAGTTTGGCGTCTATAAGCAACATATGTAAGTGGCTGATAAACCGTCTTGAAGCCATTTAACATTATGTTGGGGAGGTGAGCGGGAGCCAAGTCTGCAGATCTCCACTGCGACAACACAGCACGGTCCCCGCGGGGTTTTGGGGTCTGTCCCACCATCCGAGCAGTGCACTGATGCCATCGCGTCTTCCCCTGTAGTTTCCCTGCCCTGCCGTGGAGCAATCCCTCGTGGGATGGTGCCTTCCCCATCACTGGGGGCTTTTGGGGTGTCATTGGGACACGGTGCGGGGCTCACGGTGCGGTGCAACCCGAAGGAGGTGCATGGCTCAGAGAGAAATATTTTGCTGCAGTGCTGAGCCTGCAATAGGTGACAAAGTTTTTCCTTTAAGGGCAGCACCCTACAGCCCCGGGGTGAGCCGTGCTGTGGGGTGTAAGCTGGGAAACCAAGCTTCCACCCCAAAACCAGTGGGGTGGTGCAGGCAGCCTGGCTGAGCCCTTCTGCTCGCTGCCGGTGGCACGAGTGCTGAGAAGTCACCAGGAATCCCCGTGCTATGCCCAGAGCTTCCCACCGCAGGTTTTGGGGAGATTTTTAGGGTCCAGGGCAGGGATTAGGGCAGTTTGCACCCCCTGCTGCTGCGCCCCTGGGTGCCGGGGTGCTGAGCCAGGGGGCGGCTCCTACCTGCAGAATCCCACCTCGAGCTGGGTCTCACCTCAAATTTCAATCCTCCAGCTCCTCGATGTGACAAAGTCCCAGCGGAGCAGCAGGAAGCAGCCTGTCCCCTGCCCGCCTTCACCCCCCCAGGCTGGCAGGAGAAGGGAGCCCCATCACCCAGGACAGCCCATCAGGTGCCTGACCACCTCTCCGTGAAGAAATTCTCCCTAATGCCCGGTCACAGCCCCTCCAAAAACCTGTGCGCACTGATGTGGCATCTACACACGGAGACCCCATCCCCAAAACCTTATCTGTTTGATGGGCTATGCTTGTAGGGAGCCCTGGGAGCCCAAAAAAATCACATTCTGGGTCAGCTTTTCCTCCAAAGAGCTGCTTTTCTGCCTGGTGTCCGGGCTGCGACAAGCTCCACGCTCAATTTCTAGGAGCTCTGATGAGAAAAAGCTGATTATTTCTTCCTCAGGAAGCTGATTATTCTCCGATTTGGGGCTATTTCTAAGGAATTATAAAATCAAAAAGCCCCAGAAAGCCCCAGCTCTGCTGGGTGGAAGCCGACCCTGCAGCCCCAGGGCTGGGGCGGTTGTGCCGGGACCATGCCTGGCGGGGGCATTGCCACCTGCAGTGGGGGGGCCGTAGGTTTTGGGAAGGTCTGGGCAGGATTATGGGCACCTGAACCATCCTCTGTAGATGCTGTGAGATGTGCCCTGATCCTTTCAGGAGCTGGGGGTGTCAATGCAAAGAGCTGGGTGCAAAATCCTGGTTGCTTTGCAAGCGCAAAATTCACTTTAATGGCACGTGGCTGCATTTCCATCGGGATACCCCACCTCAGAGAGCCTCCAGCTCAGGAACCTGGGCACTACGAGGGCTCGAGGGATCCGGTCTCACCGTTTGGTGCATGCTTTTGGCTTTTGTGCTTTCCCCACCTCTCCTCCCGGCTGGATTAGGTTGGGATTGGATTAGATTGTGCCCATCGCAGCAGAGCCGGTGTCGGCACAGGGCTCCTGTTTGTTTTTTTTTGGATGAAACCCCTGCAAACAGCCGTGCCCATCGTGTTGCTGGGTGAGGAGCCAGCAGCGTCTGTCCCTGCAGGACGGATCCCTTCCAGCCCCTAACGTGCAGCTGTGTGACCTGGGGGGGCTTCCCCTCCCCGGGCTACGTGGTGGGATCCTCTCTCCATATCAGCCCGAGACGATGAACCAAATCTCCTTCCCACCTATCCGTGCCAGCGCATGGATCTACCACTATCTCCACCGTTCCTGTGTGATGTGCATCCCTCCATCCTTCTCTCTCTCCATCTCTCCCTCCATCCCTCTCTCCATCCATCAGCGGACCAGCCGACAAAGCCACCTTACCAAGGGAAGGCTCGGGGAGGTGAGATAAATTGCCCCCCCGAAACCCAAGGGGTTGCTCGGGGGAGGCGTACTCCCCTCCAGCACACCCCTGAACCAAATGAAATAAATTAAAATAATAATAATAATTAAAAAAAAAAAAAAAAGGCTGAGGAACAGGGGCTGCAGCTCTGCCCTGGCAGGTGGGGCGGTGAGGAGGAGGAAGAAGAGGAGGAGGAGGAGGAAATGAAGCAGCACTTTGAAGTCTGGTCAACTTTTAACATCCCGGCCAGCTGTGCCCGTGGCCACGCTCCGGGGCTCGGGCCCTGATTTTCCACCTCCTGCCCTCGCTGCTGTTACAGATTAACGGGGGGGGGACACACACGGCTCGCACCTGCCGGCACCGTGCCGGATCGGGCCCTGCTGCCCCCACACCCCCCACCCCAAGGCTGGATTTTGGTGCCCATCCCGTCCTCCTCTTCCTCTTCTTCCTCCCTCTTTCGTTTGCTCCCCGGGAAGCCGCCGCGATGCCGTTTGGCTGGGGGGCAGCCCCCGCTCTGCCCCGGTGGCACCCCCCCGGCCCGAGGGGCAGGGACCCCCTGCGCACCCCCCACCCGGTCCCCGTGCCGCAGCGGCCCCCCCCGGAGCCCCTTTCGTTGAAGGCGAAGCCCCCTCCCCACCACCCACCGCTCCCCCCGGCCGGGCACCCCGTGGGGATCTCCGGGCACCCACCCTGCGGGGGGATGCGGGGAGAAATCCCCCCCCCCGGCCAGGGGGATGCGAGAAATCCGGGGGAAAAAAATAAAATATAAAAAAAATAAAATCATTTTAATGATTTAATGACACTCGGGGGGTCCCCAAAGCGAAGCAGCTCCCCCAAAATGTGCCCCGGAGAGGGGTGCGCAGGGGAGGTGCTGCCGGCGGGGGTCGCCTCCGGCCGCGGGGGGGGCTTCGTCCTACAGGGGATGCTCGGGGGGCTTTGGGGCGGCCCCAAACGAAATCCCGGCCCCGCCGCCCCACCCCGCACCCGTGGCCGCTGTCCCGCAGCGCCAAAGGGGCAGGGAACGGGGGGGGCCGGGAGGGAACCGGGGGGAGGGAATGGGAATGGGGCGGCACGGAGCGGAGCGGAGCTGGATGGAATTAAAGGCTGCGAATCCGACGCACAGCATCCAAACCGAGCGCTGTCCCCGTGTCCTTCCCTTCCCTTCCCTTCCCTTCCCTTCCCTTCCCTTCCCTTCCTTCCCTTCCCTTCCCTTCCCTTCCCTTCCCTTCCCTTCCCTTCCCTTCCCTTCCCTTCCCTTCCCTTCCCTTCCCTTCCCTTCCCTTCCCTTCCCTTCCCCTTCTCTTCTTCCCCTTTCCTTCCCCTTTTCCCCTCCCCTTCCCCTTTTCCCCTTCCCCTTCCTTTCTTTTTCCCTTCCCGTTTTTCCCTTTCCCTTTTCCCCTTTTCCCTTTTCTCCTTCCCCTTCCCTTCCCCTTTTCCCTTTCCTTTCCCCTTTTCCCCTCCCCTTCCCCTTTTACCTTCCCCTTCCCTTCTCCTTTTTCCCTTCTCTTTTTTCCCTTTCCCTTTTCCCCTTTTCCCCTTTCCCCTTCCCCTTCTCCCTCCCCTCCAGGTGCGCCCCGCTCCGCACCCGCTGCGCTCCCGGCGGGCAGCCCCAGCCGCGCGCTCCTTCCCGTTCCCCGTTTCTCCACAAATATCTATTTAAAAACGCCGAGACATTTTTTTTTTTTCCCTTCTCCCTCTCTTTTCGCCTCCTCGGAGGCGAAAAAAAAATGAAAAATAATAAAAATAAAACAAACTCAACAAGCGGGGCCGAGCGCTGCGGCGTCTCCAAGGCTGCGCACCGCCGGCTGCGCCCCGCTCCCATCCTGCCCGGTCCCGCGGGTGGGCGCAGGACCTGGGGAGGATGGGGGGGGGGGGGACGTGGTCAGGGGGGGAGGTGGGGGGCAGCGGGGGACCCGCGGGGGCCGGCGAGGAGCATTTCGGCCCAGCCAAGTGGAAAATAGACTTTCAGCCCCCTTTGTGCGGGAGGGAGGCAGCCCCCTCCTCCGCGCCGAAGCAGAGCCAAACTGCGGAGTGAACTCGGGACGGGCCCGCCGAGGGGGCTGCGCATCGCCCCCCCCACACACACACCCCCCTCCAGCCGCCTTGGGGAGGGGGGGGGCCACGTTGCACGAAGCGGTCGGGTTTTAGAATTATTTTTTTTTAATTTTTTTTAAATGTTTTTCACTGATGTTTTTATTCCCCGCGCAGGATCGGACCCGTGGGAAGAGCTTTTGTCCGCCGCTGCCGGCGGCTGGGAGCCGGGGGGGCTCGGGGGGGGGGGGCTGCGCGCATCCTGCGCCTTTTGGTGGGGGGGGGGGCGCGGACGGGCAGGGGGGCGGCGCTGGGGTCTTGGGGGGGGGGGCTTCACCTTCCCACCCACCCCCTCCTTTAACCCCCCCACCCCACCGGGACCCGCGGGGCTGCAGCCGGGCACCGAGGGGCTGCGGAGAGCCGGGGAGGGGGGGGCTCAGGGGAAAGGAGGAGGGGGGGGGGCGGGCGGGGACCCCCTGGCCATCCCCAAGCCCCGCTCCCCCAACTTGTGGGCTCGCCGGCGGCGGCTCCAGGCCGGTTTTTCAGGCGCTCTCTGCCTCCCCCCCCCCTTTCCTTCCAACCTTCCCCCCCCCCTCACCTCCTCCCCGCCGCCGGCCCCGGCCCCAGCCCCAGCCGCAGCCCCCCCAAGCCCCGCAGGTGAGGCCGCCCAGGCGGGCGGGCCGCCCCAGGTACCGGCTGTATTTGTAGGGCGAGCCGGGCTGGGGGCTGCGGGGCTGCGGGGGTGAGGGGGTGAGGGGGTGAGGGGGTGCTGGGGGGGTGTTGGGTACGGGGCGAGGGGTGTAGGGTGAAGGGTGCGGGGTGGAGGGTGCTGGATTTAGGGTGGAGGGTGCGGAATTTAGGGTGGAGGGTGCTGGATTTAGGGTGTAGGGTGCTGGTTTTAGGGTGTAGGGTGCGGGATTTAGGGTTTAGGGTGCGGGGGCTGCCGGCAGCCCGCGGGTGGGCGGCGAGGGGGGGTTGTGCGCGCGTGTGTGCATGTGCGTGTGTGCATGTGCGTGTGTGCATGTGCGCGCGTGTGTGCGCGCGTGTACCCGGGGGGGAGGTTTCTTGCACGCACCCCACACACCCCACACACACACACGCGCGCACACGCACACGCAGCCGGGCGCGCACCCGCAGGACCGGCCCCGCTCCGGCCCCCCCAGGCGCAAACCATGTTCCAGCCGTCCGCCAAGCGCTGCTTCACCATCGAGTCCCTGGTGGCCAAGGACACCCCCCTGAACCCCGACGAACCCCCCCTGCGCCCCTCCGCCGCCCTCCCCTACCCCGGCCCCGGCCCCGCCGCCGATTCCTTCCCGGGGGGCTTCCAGGGGGCTGCAGCCGCCGCCGGGCGGGCCCTGTACGGCAGCGCCGAGCTCGTTTTCCCCGAGGCCGTCGGGCACCCGGCTCTGCCCGTGGGACCCCCGCCGCTGCCCCCCCCGCACCCCTTTTTCGGAGCGCAGCACCGCGACCCCCTCAACTTCTACCCCTGGGTGCTGCGCAACCGCTTCTTCGGGCACCGCTTCCAAGGTGAGCACGGAGCCGGGGGGGATTGGGGGGATTGGGGAGGGGATGGAGGGGACCGGGGGGGGGTTCAGGGGTCCCGGGGAGCCCCGCCAAGCGCCGCCGGCCCCCACCTGTTGCTGCGCCGCGGGGCACGGCCGGGCCCGGAGCCCCCCGGGGCTGGGGGCGCAGCGCGGGCGCTCGGGGCTGGGAGCGCGGAGCTGCTGCCCTCGGGACCAGCGCTTGTCCTGCTTTGCCGGCCTTCTTCTGCCTTCTTTCTTTCCGTCTTGCTTTCCTTCTTTCCCTCTTTCTCTCCTCCCTGTATTTCTTTTTTTTTTCTTACTCACTTTCTCTATTTGTTTCTCTTTCCTCCTTTCCTTCTTTCCATTTCCTTCTTTCTTTCTTTCTTTCTTCTTTCTTTCTTCTTTCTTTCTTTCTTTCTTTCTTTCTTCTTTCTTTCTTTCTTTCTTTCTTTCTTTCTTTCTTTCTTCTCTCTTTCTCTCTTTCTCTCTTTCTCTCTTTCTCTCTTTCTCTCTTCTCTCTTTCTCTTTCTTTCTCTCTTTCTTTCTCTCTTTCTTTCTCTCTTTCTGTCCTTCCCTTTCTCTCTCTTTCTTTCCTTTCTTTCATTCTCTCTTTCTTCTTTCTCTCCTCTCTGTTTCTGTTTCTCTCTTTTCCTGTTGTTTTCTTCCCGTTTTCTTTTTCTTTCTCTTCCATTATTTTTGTTCTTAATTTCTTTCTCATTTTTTTAAAAAAATCCTTCTTTCCTAATCACTCACTTTTCTCTGCCTGCCTTCCTCTTTATTCTCCTTCTGTCTTTTCCTAACTCCCTCTTCCTTTCTTCTTCCCGTTCACTGTCCTATCTCGTTTTCCTTTCCTTTCCTTTCCTTTCCTTTCCTTTCCTTTCCTTTCCTTTCCTTTCCTTTCCTTTCCTTCCTTGCCTTTCCTTTCTTTCCTTTCCTTCCTTTCCTTCCTTTCCTTTCCTTTCCTTGCCTTTCTCTTTCCTTTCTCTTTCCTTTCCATTTCTTTCCGTCCTCTCCCCTCCTTTCCCTCTCCTCCCATCCCCAATCCCCATTTTCCAGCCCGAGCCCCGCCGGCGGCTGCAGCTCCCGGTGCGGCCCCGCAGTGCCCGCAGCGGCTCCCCCGGTGCTGGCGGCCCCGCGGGGCTCTGTCCGGCCAGCCGTCTCGCTGCCTCCTCCTCTAATCCTTTTTCTTTCTCATGTTTCCTTTGCTTTATTCATTTTTTCCTTTTTTTTCCCTTTTTTTTCCATTTTTTTCCCTTTTAAATTTTTTTCCTTTTTTTCCCTTTTTTTCCCTTTTTCCTTCTTTCATTTTTTTAAATTTTCTTTCTTTCTTTTTCTTTCTTTCTTTCTTTCTTTCTTTCTTTCTTTCTTTCTTTCTTTCTTTCTTTCTTTCTTTCTTTCTTTCTTTCTTTCTTTCTTTCTTCTTTCTCTCTTTCTTTCTCCCTCTTTCCTTCCTCTTTCATTTCCTTCCCCTTTTTCTCTCTGATTTTTCCCTTTCTCTCTTTCTTTCTGACTTTCCCTCAGCCTCCGTCTCGTTCCCTCTCTCACTTCTCTCCCGTAGCATTTTTCCTTCTGTCTGTCACTGAATGCTTTGGCTTGGAAGGGACCTTACAGCTCACCTAGTTCCACCCCCCTCACTTTTTTCTTTCTTTCTTTCCCTTTCTCTTTATTTTTTCTTTCTGTCTGTCTTTCTGCCTGCCTTTCAGTCTTCCCACCTTTCTGTATTTTCTTTTTTTTTTCTTTGCCTTTTCAAATTTATTTTACTTTATCTTTTTTCTTTTTCTTTCTGTACTCTTTTTCTTTCCCCCATTCTCTCCTTTTCCTTCCTTCTTTCTTTTTTTCTCTCTTTTTACCCCGTTCATTTCCCTTTCTCTTTTTTCTCTCAGTTTTTTCCTTGTCATTTCTCACTTTCTCCCCTTTCTTTCCCCTCTTGTCTTTTTCCATCCTGACTTTCCCATTTGCTCAACCTCCTCTCTCACCTCTTAGTCCTTCTTTCTCCTTCCGCTCTTCTTTCCCCCCTCGCCTCATTTCTCTCCCTGCTGTTTTTCTTCCCCAGCTCTCTCCGTGCCTTTTCTCTCTCCCCTTTTCCTCTCTGTCCCCCTTCCCCTCTCGCTCTGCCCCGTGCCCAGCCGGGAAGGAGACGACGAGCCGGGTGGGATCACCGCAGTGCTGGGGGGGCTCCCATCCTTCCCTACCTTCCCCCAGACCCCAAATCCCCCAAAACCCCATCAGACATGGTGCCGGGGATGCCTCCGCGGGGCCTGACGCTGCCGCTCTGCCCGCAGGGAGCGAGGTGTCCCAGGAGAGCCTGCTCCTGCACGGGCCCTTCGCCCGCAAACCCAAGCGCATCCGCACCGCCTTCTCGCCGTCCCAGCTCCTGCGGCTGGAGAGGGCCTTCGAGAAGAACCACTACGTGGTGGGCGCCGAGCGCAAGCAGCTGGCCAGCAGCCTCAGCCTCTCCGAGACCCAGGTACGGCACAGCATGGCACGGCACGGCACGGCACGGCACGGCACGGCACAGCCGGCAGCAGCTCCGCGCCGAAACCGCTCGGGGCCGGGCGAAATCCCGGCTCCTGTCTCCAGGAATCGTGCACGGAAATTGTGCCGGAGCTGCGCAGGTTTTTGGGGTCAGGTCGGGCTTTTTTTTGGTGATGGGGAGCTGCTGCTGTTGGCTGAGCAGTGTTTTCGGATCAAGATCCCCTGCAGCGGGGCTGGGGCTCGGGTAGGGACGCAGGTTCCCCCCCGCGCTCTCCAGTCAGAGTCGTTTTCCAGTGTTATTCCTTGTTTGCTTGGGTGTTTTGCTGCGTGCAAAATATGTTTTTAAAAATCTGGTGACCAAAGCAGAAGCAGTGTCACCCCTCTGGCAAAAATCTGTCTTAACCTGGCCCAGTTTTGGGGTCTGCGGGCAGACTCAGGACAGTGCAAAGAAACGTGCCCGCGAAGGGTGCGCGCTCCCAGGGCTTGTTTCAGCTGCAGCTTTCGGATTTTAGGAAAGACATCACACAAGCATTTGGCCCTCAGTGTAGGAGATGAGGAAGGGGGGTGAGGGTGAAAGGAAAAGTGTATGGTGCCAGGGGAAAAGAGGGGGATTGGGGCCGAGCAGCCCCGCACGCTGGGTGCGCTGCTCCCAAAACCCCGGGCGAAAGCACCCCACTTCTCCTAATATCCAGCGATGGAGTCAACGAGGAGAGTGTCTGCCAAATTCTGGCTGTTAATTTGGCTTGTTTTCCATCTTCAATTTAATGGAAAATAAAATAATATCCATTCCACTGAAAACTAAAGGCAGAGCTGTGGGAGTTCCTCGCAGCCGCTGCCTTGTCCTCGCCCAGGCTCTGCCGGCTTCGGCGCGAGCAAAACCTGCAAATGCAGCCCCGTGAGAGGGAAGTTAGCAGGGAAAATTCCCTGTAACGGGGACAGCGGGCGGCCACAGAGCAAGGAGATTTAACCAAAAGCAGGCAGCCGGGAGGACGGACCGAGCTCTGTAAGGGCACCGTGTTTGGGGGATGCAGCCCCGAAGCAGGGCACGGCAGGAGCTGGCACCCCGGCTCCATCCCCTCTCGCTTTTCTTTGCTGCTTCGGCCACTTCTCGGGGCTGAAAACGGTGCTAAGAAAAGAAAAGAAAAAAAAAAAGCTGAAAGGTCAAAGAACAACCAGCAGCTTGCCTGGGCGGGAAGGGCAGCTGCGGGGTGCCCGGGGGCGCTCAGAGCCCCTCGCATTTTGCACCATTGCCCCGAGCCGAAAGGCAATTTCTTGGGAGAAAGCAGAGGTATCTGCCTCTAAATCCGCCTGCATAAACAGAATCGCAGCGAGAGGCAATATAGAAATGTATTTTTTTACACAGTGCAGCCTGCTTTGTAGTTCTGTATCTCCTCGCTCCGGGGAAGCTGCGGCACCGCCGGGTCGTTGCGCACGGGGGGAGCCTCGGCCCCGGGACCAGGGCGCTGCAGGGAAACCTCCTCCCCACCAGCTTTGTGCCTTAAAATATATCCCCATATTAGATATTGCTTAGATATATTTATGTGGATAAATATGTGTTATATAGAGGCGTTTTAAATATTCTATTAATTACCCAGAGGGAAATAACCCAGCCGTGTGGCGTGGGACCGGGCACTGAACTGAGCAGGGCTGGATTCGGGAGAGGCAGCCAGGGGCTGCTGGTGGTTACCCAGAATATTTCATGTCCTGTGACCCTGCTGCTGTCACCTCCTTGCTTCAGGGCACGTGCAGGGGATGCTGAGCCCCACAAACCCCTCTAAAATCCCCCGATGTGCTCCATGCCATGCGGTGGCATCGCCCCAGGTGTGCCTCCACCCGTGGCCGGTGCCCCTGTCCCGTGTCCCAAGTGGTGTGTGGATGAGTGGATGATTTTTTTTTTATTTCGGAGCAGTGCACAGGGGCTGAGCAGCTCTGCTGGGGGGCTGCTGGGCCTGGACTCCTCTTTTTCAGCCTCTTTTCCCCTGCAAAGGGCAGCTCGGTGGTGCTGAGCCGGGTCCAGCCAGGGAGCAACACCTGGAGCAGCCCCAGGGGGAGGTGAAAAGGGTACCAGCGCCCTCCCCAAAGCAGGAACCGCCTTGGGCCATGGGGGGAGCGGTGGGGACAGGTGATTAACCCCTTCCCAGCCCTCCTCCCACCAAGGTGCTGGGACGACAGGCAGAGGAAAAAATAAAAAACACACAAAAAAAGGGGTTTTTGGAGAAAAGGAAGCGTCAGCGGCAAATATAGGGGTGTAGTGGGATGACGCCGGGGGGGCACGGCGCAAGAGGAGCCGGCCGCGTGCCGGGATGACGCAGAGGCGTGGGGACAGCGTGTGCCACGTACCCGGGCCCATGGGACGCGTGGGACGTGCGTGTGTGGGGCTGGTGCGACACGGGGAGACGGCGTTTGCATGTGCCGGGCGGCGTGGGACAGGACGGGACACGGGGACTGGGGTGTGCCAGGCGGGGCGGCGCAGGCGGTGACGGCGCCGTGCCCATCGTTGGTGGCACCAGGCCGCCCCGGTTACCCGGTTTCGCTGGCCCATGGGTTGGGAAATCGCTTTGCAGAGTGGATTTTGCGCAGCGAGGCCTCGTGCAAAATTCTGCACGCCGCAGGCTGAGCCGCTCCATCCCCGGCAGCACGTGGAGAGCACCCCGGGGGACACCCCCTGCGGGGTCCCCTGCCCAAAGCGCCGGGCTCCTGCCCAGCTGTGAGGTGTGGGGTGATTGTGGCCATGCCATGGGTGACCCCACAAGCCCTTCTGGTGTTCTGCTTGCAGGGCTGGCTGCCCCCAGCCCCCGTGGGCTGCAGTGGTGCCGGTAATCATTGACAGAGCGGCCCCGTGACCGTGCGGATGCCTGGAAGTTACGGGAGGAGAAAGATGGGACGCAGATAAACCCGGAGAGCAGCCGTGCTGCGGTGCAGGGCGGGTGTGTGGGCTGGGTTCTGTGCGCCCAGCTGGGGCTGCAGCTCCTGGGGGAAATTTGGAGCCCCCCGACAGCTCCGTACCGTGAGCTGTCCGCTCTCCCCGGCTCAGATTCACACCGCAGCAGTGATGTCCCCACGGCAGGACACCTGGAGGCTGGAAAAATTGGGGTAGGGGAGGCAGTGGGAGCCTGGGGGCCTCCAAATGAGACAAGGTGGCAGCTGGGGACTGTCCCCATCAGATGGGTCCGGGCTCGTAGGGGTGCACAGTGCAGCTCCCCCGTCCTGTCTGGGACACGAGCCAGGGGCACGCTTCTTGGGCACGGAGCAGCAAGGTGCCGAGAAAGGGCAATCGCTTTTGGGGTGCTCCCTTCCCAACCTTTGTGTCTCACTAAAGCAAACTCCCGAGTTTTGGGGTGTTTTTTTTTTAAAAAAAAGCCCTGGCTGGGGCTTTGTGGCATCGCACCGGGGGCTTCGTGCGCTGCGCTCCAGTGGGAGCAGCACTGCCTGCGCCACCGGGGTCCCAGCTGGGGACCTTGGAGGTGACAGCACGGCACGAGGAGGTGACAGCAGGGCTGGTCCCTGGGTCACGGCTGCTGCAGAGCTCCTCCAGCTGAAAGGCTGCTGCTGGAGCCTCGTGCTTACACCCACAGCATCGCTCCCGTCCTGGAAATGCTGGGGATGTGTGGCTGGCCTGAAGGGTTGGGGACAGCCTCACCTTGCCTCGGGAGGATTTGGGAGATGCCTCGCCCCCAGCTCTGATTGCCACAGAGCCTCAGCCAAGCAGCTCGATCTCTTTATACCTCGGTTTCCCCTGCTCTACCTCAGGGATAAGGCAACTTCCTCGCTCCCAGAGGGCTGGGAGCTTTAATTAAAGTTTGCAAAGTGCTCCGCGGTGGGTGAATGAAAGGCGCCAGCTCGGTATTGTTTGAGAAATGCCCCAAAGGGAGGAAAGCGAATGGTTTGAGTCCCCGGCCGGGGTTCCAACAGGCGGTGGTGCCATAAAGCAGCTGGTTCGGTGCAACGAGCACGCCTCGGAGCCACCGAGTGCCTTTGCTCCCCTGGGAATCAGGGGCTGAGGGACGACCTTGGCCTGCTGAGAAACCCCCGGAGCAGGAGGCGAGCACGGGCTGGGAGCAGAGCCCGAGGAATGGGGCTGAAAGGGGGCACGATCCGGGACGTGGCCGCTGCAGGTGATGGCTCCCACCCCGCTGCGTCGCGGGGCTGGCATCGGCGGCCGAGCAGCGGCACCTAGTGTCCTGCCAGGGCCCGCGAGGCTGGGCAGCATCCTACAGCACTGCTCAGCATCCTACAGCACCCCACAGCATCCTACAGCACCCCACAGCACCCCACAGCACCGCCAGCAGCTCCCTGCACCGCCCAATTCCCGGCTGCTCTCAGTGCCCGTGGTGCCGCGTCCGTCGCAGGAGCTGCCCCCGAGCGCGGAGACGCCGCAGCCTCTGCGGGCTGCTGGGGCAGCCTGGTGGTGGAAAACCTTTCCTCGCACCTAAATGCTGTGAATTTATCCTCTAGGTTAGCCCCCTGGTTGTTTGCAGTCTTTGAGAGCCTCAGACCCTGCCCTCGGGCTTTTGCGCACGAGGGGCGCAAAGCGACGGAGCCGCGCGATGGGCTCGGCCCCAAAATGCCGGTTATTGCCCCATTTTAGTGGCCTGGGGAGGTGATGGGCTTGGTCGGGCTGTGCCTGGAGATGAAGCAGGGCCGGGAGCTGGTGGTGCCACCCCAACCCCAGGGCGTGACGTGTGGGGACCTTCAGGTGGCCATCGGGGACACCCACGGCACCACGGTGCTGGGCACCCGCTCCCATCCTGCGAAGCGCAGCAGGGAAAGGGAAACTGAGGCAGGGCTGGGACCTCTTTGTGGCCACTCTGGGGGGGAAAATGGAGAAATGGGAACCGCTGGGGTGAGTGGGAACTCGCTGGGAGCTCACAGGAGATTGCCTGTCCTCTCCTCGCTCTCCCCCAGGTGAAAGTGTGGTTCCAGAACCGGCGGACGAAATACAAACGGCAGAAGCTGGAGGAGGAAGGGCCGGACTCGGACCAGAAGAAGAAAGGCTCCCACCACATCAACCGATGGCGCCTCGCCACCAAGCAGTCGAGCGGAGAAGACATCGACGTCACCTCCAACGACTAAGGCAGGGACAGGCTCCTGGTGCAGCCACCATGGAGAGGAACCCGGGGGACGAAGGGGGGACACGCGCGGCGGCACCGCCACGCGAACTCTAGGGACGCCAGCGCCCAAAGCCGCCGCCGCCGGTCCTCCGGGGGCCCCGCACCCCGTTCCCCCCCGCCGCCCGCGGTGCCCGGGGCATCCCTGGGGGCGCTTTTTGGGAAGCCCCCGCCCGAGCCAAGGAGGAGGAAGAGGAGGCTGCCAGGGCCCGCGCCCCGGGACGCGACCGCGCATCCTCCTCCGCGCTGGAAGCCGCCCGTCAGCCGTGAGCTCGACTCAAAACGTCCTACCTAGAAGCTCAATGTGCCCAGCCCTGTTTTTTTTTGTTCGTTTGTTCTTTTTTTTTTTTTTTTTTTTGGCCTCCCTCTCCCCCCTCCTCCTTCCTCTGTTGTCGTTTTGTTGTGTTTTTTTGTTTTTTGTTTTTTTTCCTCGTTCCGTTCCGTTTTTACACGGTTTCGTTTTAATTTATTCTCTTCATTTTTTTTTTGTGCCCGTGTGCGTGCGTTCAACCCGTCGTAGGTAGTCAGCAGCTGTAGCGTGTGTGTTAACTGCGTGGAAATAAAAAGCAAAAATGCGCTCCAACCCCGGCTCCTTGCCTCCGCCGCCCCCCCCTCGCCCATCCCAGGAGCATCCCACGAGGACGTGGCCACCGGGACGCCGGCGTCACCGGCCACGGGTGGCATCCCCACGGCGGTGGCATCGCCGTGGGGTGAGGACGGTGGTGGGAAAGCAGCAGGAGAAGGGGGCAGCTCCCGGTGGGGGCCGCACCGTCGCCGGGGGGGCCGCAGGTATGCCAGGTATGCGGCGGCTTCGGGGCTGGCAGCCCCCTCACACCTGCGCCGGGGATTGAATGTCGAGGGAGAGGCAGCCCCAGAGCGAGCAGGAATGCCCCGGTCCGATGGGAAACGGGGCGCTGGGGGCTGCCCGGGGACCCCCCCTGGCTCCAGGCACTCGTGGATCCCCAGAGAAGAGGGGGGGAAAGAAGAGGGGATTTGGGGTGAGGGATAAGGGTTGGACACCCTCCTGGGGTCTGGGGGATGAAGGTTGGGCACCCTCCTGCATCCCACCTGGGTCTGGGGTTGGATGTTTATAATCATTTTCTCTATATAACAGGCAAATATAATCATTATAGATTCTATATATACAAATCTGTGTATATATGATATATACAAGTCCATATAAATATTATTTGCTATATAGAAATATCATATACACACACACATATATATAGGATAAAAATTGCTGCTCTTCGGGACGGGGCAGCCCTCTCCCCACCTGCAGGAAAACACCCCGTCCCTGGAGCAGCCCCCCCAGCCAAGCAAAATGATGAGAATTTGGGTTTTTTGCTCGTGTTTTCAAGGAATTTGAAGGCCTGCACCTGGTGGCACAGCCCCACGGGTTCCTGCAGCCCCCTCCGTTCCTCCCCGCCTGGCCCCCGCGCAGCAAGGACGCCCGCGAGAGGTGGCGAAGTCTTTAAAGATTTTTAATTCCAGACACGGAGAAGTGTTACATAAAGTGTGGCGGTCGAGAAATCCATCGAGAAGGTTAAAAAGAGGCCCCCCCGGGGGCCGTGGGGGGCCGGGTGCGCGCAGCAGCGGCTGGAAGACGTGGCCGGGCGGCGATGCCCGCGGGCTGCGGGGCGGAGGAGCCGACACGAGGCAGCCCCAGCGACCAAAACAAAAAAAAATCCCATGGCCAAAGGGGACAGGCTCCCAAAATGCGGGGAGGTGCCAGGCTGCGGGTACCCGACGGTGCCAGGAGCTGATTTCGAGGCTGGATTTGTGGGCTCCTCATCCCAGGGCATCATCCGCCCCGGCACCGCGGCCACCTGCCCTCGCCTCGCCGCACGTGGGGATGGAGAGCAAAAAATAACCAGCAAGGCATTAAAAAAGCAAAGGAGCTGCGAGTGAGGGGAAGCGGAGAAACTGAGAAAAGGGGAGAAGCAGCCAGGAGCACCAAAAAATTAAAATGGGTTTGGGCAGCGGGCGTGCATGGGACGCGGGCGATCAGTGGGGTGGCTGCGGTGCCGGGTGCCTGCCGCTCATCCCCCACGTCCCCAGGTAGGGAAATCCCAAGCGCTGAGGCTGGCAGAGCTCAGAGCTGGTGTTTGATGACCACAGCTCTAGGAGGAGAGCAGGGCCGAGCCATTTCCCATTTCCCATTTTTCCATTTCCCATTTCCCACTGCAGGCTCCAGGGCACCAGCACCAGAGCCCCGTGGCCGTCCCCTGGCTGTCCCCAGCGGGCTCGGGGAGCAGCCCCCAACCACCCCTTCCAGGAGGGAACCTTAACTCCTCGCTGGCACCTTTTGCTGCAACCTGGTCCTCATTATTTCTTAATTAACATATCCAAGAAATCAATTAACCTGCGACATTTCTAATTAAATACTACAGGAGATGATCAGCTCATTATTATTATCTGCTGAGGTGAACAACTTGATGTGTGTGGGGGGTGTGTGGTGTTTTTTTTTTCCCTTCCCATTTCTTCCACTTCCCCAATTATAGGAAATAATAAATGCAAATGGTTGGGTTGTTCTCACAAACCGAAGGCTCCTTTTGTACATTAGGAAAGTCGGAGAGATTAATTAGCTATTAAGTGAGTGTGCATAATGTTATCATTAGCTGTTGTGTGTATTCCTTTTTGGCACGATCTGCTGTCCTAATAAACAGTCCTAATGTGCTGCCACTTCCCCAGTGCCGTGCTTTTCCCCTCCTCAGACGGCACCGGGAGCGGAGCACGACGCCGAGCCCACTTCCCAAACACAGCCCCAAGCACCAACCCTGCCAGGAGGAGCCGTGTGGGGTGCCCCAAGGACGAGCGCAGCAGTTCCCAAAAGTGGCACCGGGCACCCCGTGTGGCCCCAGAGGGTCCTGCTGTGGAGCATCCCAGCCTTGAATTTGGGGATTTGGGGATTTGGGGTCCGGTGCGTGGCCAGGGGCCGGGCAGTGCCGAACGGCCCCGCTGTTTTCGTGTCCCGGTGCCCTTGTGCTGGGGGGACGCTGCCTCTCTGCTGCTCCCCAAACGTGCTCCTCATCCACACACCTCGTCCTGCTCCCCAGGTGAGGGGACAGCCCTGGGGGGGACACTCAGGGTTGGGCAGCAGAGGTGAGACCCGAGCCCCGCGTTGGGTTCCAGCTCCGCTGCTCTCCCGGGTGCGCACACAGCCGGACGCACGGCGCCCTCAAGTCCCACATCATTTTGGGGGCCCTCACCCCACAAACACCTCTGGCACAGAATCCGGCCCTCCTGACTCACAGAGCAGGGGGGGAGCAGGAAACCCAAAGCAGCGCAGCCCTCGTTGTGCGCCGCGGGATCAGCCCTCCGCTAATGAGCTCCGCGGCGAGCCGAAACGCTCCGCAGGTGAAACGTGCCCAGGGAAAAACCCTCCGTGCGCCCCTTCCCCTCTCACAAACCAGGAACCGGCTCCTTTCCTAAGCAAAACCTGCTCGGTTTTTCGTGCTTTTTTTCCCCTGGTGTCTCTCCGAAAGGAGTGCAGCGAGCGGGGCCGCGGCTATTTCCCCGCGCGGCTCCGTAATTAGCCGCGCGCGCTGCAAATTACTCACTCCATCTGCGGGCCCGGCAGGTAGCGGAGTTCACAGCCACGAAATCTTTGATCAGTAATTACGGTGTAAAAAGCAAATCAGCGGCTCCCTCCTCGCTCCACCCCTCCGAAACCACCCCACTACAAAGTGAAGGCTCCGTCGCACCCCCCCCCTCAAAAAACAAACAAACAAACAACCCAAAGCCCGAGATAAAAAAGCTTCGCAGCATCTCAGCGGAATGGCTCGGGCACAAAACCCACCCTGGGGGCTTGTGGGGAGCTCAGCTCTGGGCTCAGCTACGCCGCCAGCCCCCGGGGTGTGTTTTAGACCAGCTCCATCCCCGCTTCGGGCACATCCCGCAGCACCCCAGGGCGCTCTGCGCCTCCCCACACCCAGCATGGCCCCGTTTTTGGGGTGACCCCTCCACAGGGTGATGGGGGAAGGCAGGAGACGCTTCCCCAAATATTTGGTTTGGGGAAAGTGCTCCCCAGGGTGCTGCTCAGCAGCTGGCTTCACACGGGGAGCAGGCAGCGCTGCCGGTGCTGCTGTGCCATTGCGCCAACCCTCCCCAAAAAAACCCTGTAGGGACCCCAGGGGTGTCCCCGCTTGGTGCTGAGCATACATTCATCTCATCTAGTGCACTGGAAGAACTCTGCTGGGTCAGCTCCAGCTGTCCTTTACCCCGGTGGAAATGCAGAGAGCTCCACGAGCTCTGCGCCCCCACCAGTGCCAGGGACAAAACGGGAGCTGGGCTGGCAGCCGGGCCCTGGCTCAGCCTGGTGCAGCTCCAGTGAGAGCAGCAAACGGGGGCTGAGCCCCCCCAGCCCCAAACATTGCACCACATCCTTGTGCGTACATTCGGTGTCAGTGGCAATTTGGTTTCCCCCCCACCCTCCCCACCCTCCCCAGGTCCCCCCATCACCAACACGCCTCCGTCCCTGCAACGGGCCAGGAGACCGTGTCCAAAATCCACCCCTCTGACCCCTCAGGGAGTTGCTTTGGGGTTTGCCCTCGGGCAAAAGAAACTGGAAAGCCAAATTACAGCCCCAAAAAAAACAACCAAGAGTGGCCAGGGGAGTTTTGCTGGGCTATGGGACCAGGCACCCATGTGGGATGTGGCTCCCGTACCCAGGAAGAGCCCCAAAACCACATCCATGCACAGGGGAGAGGGATTTGATGCCCTGCTGGGGGTTTGTCCCACCTGACTTGAAGCAGCTCAACGTGGAGCAGCCGGAGAGCGAGATGGACAGACGGACGGACACCCGCAGGGTGCAGTTAGCCCCTCTGCCCGGGGCTGTGGCATCAGGAACCCCTCTCAGAGCTGCACCCAGGTGGCTTGGATTGACTGCCTCACCTGCAGGGCGCCTGCACTAGGTGGGACAAACCCCATCCGTTACATCTGTGCCAAGAAAAGCAGGAATTAAGCTCATTTTTGCTGTGAAATCCCTTCCCACGTTGGCTTTCCAGCCCCTCGACCCCTCACGGCACACCAAATCCCGTGGGTGCAGCAGGTGCCGGCGCTCACCAAGCTCCCCAGGGCTCAGCACTGGAGCTGCTTTCGTGCACCATCACCGGGGCAGGACGGCCACGAAATCGGTACAGGACACTTCTCAAACACCCTATCAAGCACTCAAAATTCACGCACCCGCTGGGCTCTGCGGAGTTACTTCTGTGCAGCATCAGTGCCGGGGTTTAATTCGCTTTGGGAACAGGATTTGCTCGGTGAAGCCTACTCTCGTGTGGTTAGGTACAGCCAGGTAAACGTCCCGGAAACTTCCCTCCATGCAGTGCTAAAAGGTCAGGGATTATTCCTTAGCTAGTTCTCTAAAAGTGTTTGAAGGCGATTTGCTCGCTGCTGCTCCTGTGGCTAGGTTAAAACGATTTCAGTGTTAATCTTCCCGCGTGGGGTGAGGTGTCAGTTCTCCCCAGGTGTTAGTTCGCTCCCCGGTCTCCGGGAGGGGCAGCGCCTTCGTAGCGCTGAGCTCTAGGCTCATCTCGTCTCCTTGCTGTGTTTTTATCCCAGGCGTGATTTTGAGCTTCC